GCACCCCCCCCCCCCCCAAAAAAAAACAAAAAAAAAACAAGGCTGAAAGCTACAATCTCAGCGATGCCTCTGAACTCATAACCTGGGCTTCAACAGCGATTAACAAGCAGGATGGTAAATCAGTCCTTGGAGCAGATGATCCTGACAATCCTGTGAAGCAGATAAGGAAGACGTTTCAGGGTAGGAAATGCATAGATCAGGGTGTACTGATCCCGCAGAGGTAAACCGGCCCAGTCTTTGCTGAACCTGGAGGCCAGGAGGTCGACATCTGACATCCCTCCAGTTACAGCTCCTGGAATACCTCCTTGTGTAGGGACTTCTCCCCTGGGACTAGGCACTGCCAGCTGAGGAAGTCTGCCTGCCAATTTGAATTGGCCCTATGTAAATGTTCTGCCACAAGGGTTGGAGCAATGACACCTTGATACAGAAAACCCAAGAGGGCCCGATGTAGATCTGCTAATCTGGGCTTTGACAAAGGAAGGTTGCAGGTGAGAAACTGAGAAGGGGATAGTGAGCAGGACTCCAGTTTGTAGACCTGAGATACTGTCGTCTCCTGCACTCAACCTGTGCAAGAAGACTGAAAACACGAAGCGCACAGCTCACCCCTATATGCATCCCCGCAATCCACATTCGGTGCACGGATGACTCTCTTCCGGAGTAATAGGCTCAAAAACTGTGGAACCAGCACACGATAATCTTCCAAAGAAATGTAAACTTTATTTGTACAGATGCAGGTGGAATAAAGTTTGAATTTCTTTGGAAGATTATCATCTGATGGTTCCACAGTTTTCAAGCTGTACAAGCATCTGAAAATGTCCCTCCCACTTTTGCAGAAGATTTGGCAGACAATGTGCCAGACCTTGTAGGATTCTTGGGAACCAAGCATGGGGATCTTGTCAAGATGTGAGGTGGAGGAAGTAGGGAAATAAAAGGTCATCATCCTCTGTGGAAGATAGGTGCTACTGCCACCAGTAGCATCCTTGATGATAAGAGCTTGTTTGAAGAGATGTTGTCCTTCGAAGGCCATGCGGATCAAAGGCTTTTTACACAAGGGTTCCACAGTCCAGCACTAAATCCAAACTGCCCTGCGTATATGTACAGATATGAGATACATGCAGGACATGATAGGAAAGACTTCCAGCAAACCCTCATAGCTGAAATTTAACACTACAGACATATGTGCCACACTTTCAAAAGCAAGGGATCAACCGCTGCAGTGATTAGACCTCTTTTAAGCTATTTTGACCAGTCAGATGTGGTTTAACAAAGTAAAGTCACAATCAGGATCGGATGAAGGGCATAACCTGTTAGCGAGAACAGAGCTCTAGAAAGGGCTTCTAACCATGTTGGGACTTTAAAGACAGACGCATCTTCTAATGAAATAGTAATCACCTTGTTTAGGCAGGACACTCCCAGATCCGCGGGAGAAACAGCCACTTCTGCACAAAATCCTCACCAAACAGATATAGGCTCTTGGATATATCAAATAACTTATCTCCATAGACAGGACCATCTTTAATATTGATTGGACCCTGGGCAAACAATTTCTTGGGCCCCCCCCCCAGGCCCTACCAGCAGCATATGGAAAAGGTGGAGCAACAATGTGATGCTGATCGCATAGTAAACAGAATAGTGCTGCAAGGGTTGATGCATTTTCTTCAAGCAAAACCTGAACAGTCTAGCACCACACTGCAACTTTTTTTAGAATAAACGAGAGAGAGAGAGAGAGGAGAAACGGCCAGGAGAGAGGAGAGAGAGGAGAGACGGCCAAGAGAGAGAGAGAGAGAGAGAGAGGGGAGAGACGGCCGAGAGAGAGAGAGAGAGAGAGGAGAGACGGCCGAGAGAGAGAGAGAGAGAGAGGAGAGACGGCCGAGAGAGAGAGAGAGAGAGAGGAGAGACGGCCGAGAGAGAGAGAGAGAGAGAGGAGAGACGGCCGAGAGAGAGAGAGAGAGAGAGGAGAGACGGCCGAGAGAGAGAGAGAGAGAGAGGAGAGACGGCCGAGAGAGAGAGAGAGAGAGAGGAGAGACGGCCGAGAGAGAGAGAGAGAGAGAGGAGAGACGGCCGAGAGAGAGAGAGAGAGAGAGGAGAGACGGCCGAGAGAGAGAGAGAGAGAGAGGAGAGACGGCCGAGAGAGAGAGAGAGAGAGAGGAGAGACGGCCGAGAGAGAGAGAGAGAGAGAGGAGAGACGGCCGAGAGAGAGAGAGAGAGAGAGGAGAGACGGCCGAGAGAGAGAGAGAGAGAGAGGAGAGACGGCCGAGAGAGAGAGAGAGAGAGAGGAGAGACGGCCGAGAGAGAGAGAGAGAGAGAGGAGAGACGGCCGAGAGAGAGAGAGAGAGAGAGGAGAGACGGCCGAGAGAGAGAGAGAGAGAGAGGAGAGACGGCCGAGAGAGAGAGAGAGAGAGAGGAGAGACGGCCGAGAGAGAGAGAGAGAGAGAGGAGAGACGGCCGAGAGAGAGAGAGAGAGAGAGGAGAGACGGCCGAGAGAGAGAGAGAGAGAGAGGAGAGACGGCCGAGAGAGAGAGAGAGAGAGAGGAGAGACGGCCGAGAGAGAGAGAGAGAGAGAGGAGAGACGGCCGAGAGAGAGAGAGAGAGAGAGGAGAGACGGCCGAGAGAGAGAGAGAGAGAGAGGAGAGACGGCCGAGAGAGAGAGAGAGAGAGAGGAGAGACGGCCGAGAGAGAGAGAGAGAGAGAGGAGAGACGGCCGAGAGAGAGAGAGAGAGAGAGGAGAGACGGCCGAGAGAGAGAGAGAGAGAGAGGAGAGACGGCCGAGAGAGAGAGAGAGAGAGAGGAGAGACGGCCGAGAGAGAGAGAGAGAGAGAGGAGAGACGGCCGAGAGAGAGAGAGAGAGAGAGGAGAGACGGCCGAGAGAGAGAGAGAGAGAGAGGAGAGACGGCCGAGAGAGAGAGAGAGAGAGAGGAGAGACGGCCGAGAGAGAGAGAGAGAGAGAGGAGAGACGGCCGAGAGAGAGAGAGAGAGAGAGGAGAGACGGCCGAGAGAGAGAGAGAGAGAGAGGAGAGACGGCCGAGAGAGAGAGAGAGAGAGAGGAGAGACGGCCGAGAGAGAGAGAGAGAGAGAGGAGAGACGGCCGAGAGAGAGAGAGAGAGAGAGGAGAGACGGCCGAGAGAGAGAGAGAGAGAGAGGAGAGACGGCCGAGAGAGAGAGAGAGAGAGAGGAGAGACGGCCGAGAGAGAGAGAGAGAGAGAGGAGAGACGGCCGAGAGAGAGAGAGAGAGAGAGGAGAGACGGCCGAGAGAGAGAGAGAGAGAGAGGAGAGACGGCCGAGAGAGAGAGAGAGAGAGAGGAGAGACGGCCGAGAGAGAGAGAGAGAGAGAGGAGAGACGGCCGAGAGAGAGAGAGAGAGAGAGGAGAGACGGCCGAGAGAGAGAGAGAGAGAGAGGAGAGACGGCCGAGAGAGAGAGAGAGAGAGAGGAGAGACGGCCGAGAGAGAGAGAGAGAGAGAGGAGAGACGGCCGAGAGAGAGAGAGAGAGAGAGGAGAGACGGCCGAGAGAGAGAGAGAGAGAGAGGAGAGACGGCCGAGAGAGAGAGAGAGAGAGAGGAGAGACGGCCAAGAGAGAGAAAGAGGAGAGACGGCCAAGAGAGAGAAAGAGGAGAGACGGCAAAGAGAGAGAGAGAGAGAGAGAGAGAGGGGAGAGACGGCCGAGAGAGAGAGAGA